GGTTTCATTGGCAATGAGATGGAAAATGAGAGAGGATGATGAAGCTCTGTTTTGTAAGGAGCTTTTGTAATGCCTGTGCCAGAGGAAATGGCCCCGAAAAGTGAAGAGGCCAGGGCAGGACTTTGTTAGGTAGACCTGGGTTCAAATCCTGACTTGCTATTTGACTTTGGACAAATTACTCCATTTTGCTGAGCCTCAGTGTCTTCATCGGTACCATAGGGGCCACAGAACTTACCTCTCAGACTGTGCTGATAGGTCAATGGGCTGTGTTAACAAATGACAAGCTTTTGGCAGGCATGGTTAACAGTTGTCTTCCATCCCCACCCTCCTGGACTGTATCAATAAGGATAAGCAGTAAACATATTGGAAGCAAGCACTACCAGATTTAGTATATAGTTTAATTTGTCATAATAACCCTTAGGAAGGATTCAGTAATGGGCAAATAGATAATTCAACCACATGGCCACTCAATTTCACATGTCAGTGACTCGAACCAAATAACAAAATATGAATATGTATCTCAGTGTCACCGAGCATATGTTCTCCAAAAACAAAATGCCTGCTGATTACAAGTGGTTGAACTGAAGCAAAACATCTCAAAATTCTCTTTGAAGGATGGATGGTCAATGGGCATTGTGGGTAGCCACATAGTCTTGTATCTAACCCATTTTAGCAGATATGGACCTGTTTATTTTTCCAAATAATTAAAACACAAATGTTGCCAACTAACATCTAGGTACATTGAGCATAAGTTATCTTAATTAGGGAATTCAAAAAATATTTGAGGGGTTGGAATTGCCTGAAAGCCTTACGTTTAGCCATATACTCTTATTAGGCTATTCTCATATAGACTACTGATTGTAGATGGCAGAGAATCCCTGAATTCAGTGGGGTCAAGTGACCTCGTGCCCAAAGCACCCAGCACAGTGGGTGGCACCTATTGACATGCCTGATGCAATGTGAATGACCGCCCTTCCAGGAGCCAGGTGTGAATGCAGGAAAGGTCCACTTCAGAACCCTTGAGTTAGACTCTGTTAGTCTCTTCCCTGCCTTCAGATGGGTTTCTGTTGATGACTTCTTTTGGGGCTCCAGGAAAATGGGTTCTTTGTGATATGAGCCCCCAGTTCAGGGTTTCCTACAGAAGTCAGGAAAGCTTTGCTTAGAGGTAGCCTGGAATTCCATCCCATTCCCTCTTGTCCATTCCTTAGGGGAAGATGGAATACTTGCTGCTCCCTAATGATCACTGAGTCCTACCTTCCATAAGGATAAGGCAGATATGGATGGATGAGGGGCTGTGTGTGTATGTATTTGTCGTTTGTGTTGATCTAAAAATCAAACAAATAAAGAAAACAAAACCAAGCCAAAATGAAAACTAAAAGGAGGACAAAACCCCCCAAACCCCTCCCACCAATGGCTTCACGCTCTATGGGTTCCTGGCCTATTTCTCTGTTCTTTATTCTTCCATTCGTGTGGAAGGACTAACCAACATTTTCTGACTTAAGGGACAGAAGCTGAACACCTTTCTAAAAGTATCAGACACAAGATTTATAAAAATAAGAAGTATAATCACTGACATAAAATGATGCTGATGGCATTTGGAAGTCCCCCTGTGAATTTCTAACTGACTCGTGGCACATAGGTTGCCCACAGAGGTATTTTCAAACATTTTCCACACTCCAGAATCTCAATCATGACTCTAGCTTTGCTGACCTCAAATCCATCTGATGTGGGCTTTATTTAAATTCCAACTGTGGCCCTGGCCAGGTGGTTCATTTGGCTGCAGCATCATCCTGTGCACCAAAACGTTGTGGGTTTGATCCCTGGTCAGGGCGGGTATGGGAGGCAACTGGCCCATGTTTCTCTCTCACATCCCCCCCCCCAACCTTCCCCTCTCTCTAAAATCAATAAACATATCCTCAGGTAAGGATTAAAAAAATAATAATAATAAATTAAAAATCCCAACTCTGCCATAAAGTCTGTTTCAAGGACCATTTCTTCCTTTGTTGCTCACAGACAAATGTGTCCTTCACCTTTTTAAGGCAAAGCCCCCTTGCACCTGTAGGTATTTTTCATCACTGATTCCTTCCTCTGACACAACAGCGCAGGATTTCCAATGTGCATGGATCACCAGCTGAAGAGGTGAGCTAATCAGCACTTACGTACTTGCTGCGGCAAAGCTCCAAAAGAGCAGGAGGAAAGGGATTCCTGGGTCGGGGGTAGCAAAAGCGGAGGCGGCTGACTGGGGCTCCGGAGTGTGGGGGAAACGTGCTGCTGCTTCCTTCCCCATCATTGGTCAGTGTGGGGTATGCAGAAGATTAGATTTGAGGAGACAAACTATGCCATCACTTGAAAGGAGCAGCTACCTTGTGCCTTCATATTTAGGTGCTAGATTTACCAAATCATGGCATGGTGGGTGCTGCGAGGTGGGTGAGGGATTGGAGATGCTGGCAAGGGCACGGCTGAAGTGGTCGGACAGGGCATGCCGCCTGGGCCAGGGCAAGAAAGGACAGCAAGGCGTTGACAGCTTGGGGGAGAGGAAGGCCCAAGGGGCCAGGAGGAGGGCGAGCAGAGTCAGGAGGCATGAGCCATGCAGCTGTGCCATCAGATTTCAATAGGAGCAAGAAGAGGTTCAAAATGCCAACAGGTCCCTGTGTGTGTGCAGCAGGCATGCAAAAAAGACGGACAGAAGGAGGTCAAGGTCAGCCACAGGGTCTTAAGTGGACATGTTCAGTCCTAGGGCCCTAGTGCTGAACTCAGTCCCTGTGCATCTTCCCTTCCTAGACACCTTTGCCCAAAATGCTGTCAGGGAGGCCCTTTTCTGAACATGGAAAGATGGGCATTAAATACATGCACCTGTGACTTCGACCGGATCCGAGATCAGAAAAATCTTAAACCTAAACACAAACCAATGGGCTTCCCTTTAGGAACAAATAGTGCTGACAAAATGTTAAAAAAAAAGAAAAACCCAGCTCTCTGACATGAAAATATGCAAAAGCAATTATGTAATCAGGGCCGCAGAGGTCATTTCAAAAAGTAGTGTGCTAATTACAAAAGTAATGTTTCTTTCATTAAATAAGATTATGAATTTTAAAGCATTTAGCACTGCACCTGGCACTTACATTTACCAACCCCAAATAATAGTTGTTGCCAATGTTATATGTATGAATCATTAAAGCAGACCAGTAAGACTTCTATTTGGATGTCTTTTTGTCAGTCATTTATTTCATTAATATATGAGCTTTTGAGTAATAAAAAGACAAGGTTTAAAATTCAGATTACTTCCCAGTGCAGTCTGACCTTTCTCAAATTACTAAGACTTGTGACATTTCTCTGAACAAAACAGTGATCCACAAACAAAGGCTCTGTGGAAAATGAGGTGCCCAGGAACACCCATTCCTCCTATCTCAAGAGTGGTTGCTGATAGTGGGGGGCTAGAACCCCACATCTTCCCAGATTTGTTTAAGCACATAGTCTGTCAGCTGGGAAAGAGATGACGCAGGAGTCCAGGCCCACTGTTTCCCCAAGTTTTAGTCCAGTCCCTGCCCTCACACCTCTATTCACCCTCCAGTCCCCTTGCCTCTGTGGCCAGAAATGGCATTGGCTGTGACCATACTGCCCTGTGTGGTCTGTGTGGCTCCAACTCCAAATCTGGTCCTACATGCTACAGCCCAGGTCACAAGAAAGGAGACAAAGGCAGCTTCTGGACCGCAGCTGTTTCTGTTTGCTGTATATAGCACTTGTGAAAATTCTAAATGTGAATGCCTTTACAAAGGGGTATTGCACTGAAGTTTACCCTGGTCTCCACTACTTCGTTTTTCCCTGGTTTGAATTAATTTAGTCTGTCAGCTTGGAATATAAGCCATTCCCTGTCACCTCTTGTCATGGCGTTTAATCCTGTACACTGACATTGCAGTGTGGCCCAGACAGGGCTGACGGGAGCCCAGAGCTGAAGGAATCTCTGTGCCACCTGGACAAGCTCAGCCCCGAGGAGCCTCCCTGCCATGGCCCGGCTGGCTCTCAGGTGGCAGTTCCAAGACAAGGGAACCAAATGTCATTCTGGTGTCTATGTGGCAGCTTACCATCTGTTTATGTTGACTTGTGTATATTGACTCTATATATAGCTTACCATCCGTATATATTAACTTCTGAATATGTTCAGTAAAAAAAAAAAAAAAAATAGTTTGACCTCTTTAAGAAACGTCAGCACCGAATAAGTTAAATATTGCTTGGGAGTCTGCTATGCTGCTTTCATGCAAGTTTAAAAATTCTATACATCAGGGCTGTGAAAACAGCTCTGATTTTTCAATGCCGGAGAGAGGAGTTAAGTCATTTAGTTTCCATGGAACTCTCTATCGATTAGGGGATAAGGTAGGCTGTTTTTTCTTTTTTGTTTTCTTTCACGAGCCCAAGAAAAATGGCCTCTCAGGGGTCTCTTTTTCAGTCCCAGAAGAACCTCATTTCTCCTGTGACTACATCATCAAGGTCATGAGAGCCTGTTCATGAATAGGGCTCCTTGTGCCCAGTGCATTCAGGGAGCACGGTATAGAGGAGACCCATTCCTAAAGGTCCTGTGAAGCAAGTGTAATTATCTTGATGTTCACAGATGAGGAAACACACTCAGAGTAGGTACACCCCTTGCCCAAGTCACACAATTAGCCTCGGGCCTGATCAGGCTTTACTGACAGTCTGACAGGCTCTTTCCACCACCCCATGCAGCGTCGACTAAGTAAAGGCAAATACCACAAAGCCACTCGTCACAGACCTCAGCGTCCCTGGAGGAAGGACAGGGTCAATGGAAGTTTTGCAAAAATGCAGAGTTTGGGGAAAATATAGAAAAAAAGAGAGAAGCCAGTTGCATCTTTGCAAAAAAAGAACTTTTAACCTTAGTCTTGGACTCTTGGCTTCAGTACAAGTCCATTGTAGACACATTTTTCATACAGAGGATGTGAAGGTGTTGGCCTGTCCCGCACCAGGAAGAAAGCTGAAGTAGGGGTACCTACCGCCTTCAAACTCTGTCTGACAGTTCCCCGAGGTATCATTCAGGCTCTCCTCCTCGTTGATGATGATGTTCTCAATGTCCTTCATTGTTAAGTGGTCCCGGAAGGCGTGATAGAGGATGTGCTTCAACTCTTCCAGAGTTATCCTTTGCATGTCGAACTGTGGAGATAAAGAGGAGTGAGAGGGTCTTGGGCACATGGGGGTGAGAACTCTGCTTGGGGCATGGCCCGCAAGCCCTAAAGCCTTCAAGCTCCTTTATGAAAACTTGTCCCAGCTTTTCAGAACATCAGATGAGCAGTTTTCCATCATCTTCTGCTCCGAGCATACTTGCGAATTTGCAATAACTTACTGGGAATACGGTGAGTGCAGCATATCCCCCTCCCTTGAGACTCCTGGAGGAAAAAATGCCACCTGCCAGTTTGGTTTCCTACTCATCCAGCCATCTGCTGTCAACCCTCATATACTTGGGAGATGTGTCACACTTCAGACAATGCATATGTCTCTAAAAATTTTATGATCTCCCAAGAAACCCGCAATTCCCATCTTGGTTTAAGCATGTATCTCATTGTAACAAGAGAAAATGCAAGCTCAAAGCCGTGTTTATGAGGAGGAGCAGCGAAGGGGAGGGGGAGCATTCCGGTTATATTCCTCCACATTGTGCTTCCCCACTGTGTTTATTTCTATCAGGCTCAGTCGTGTCACTTTCTTAGCCAGTGACATGTGAGTAGAAGTCACACCTCCAGCTGAAAGCTCTAAGAGGCATTCTGTGGTTCTATCATTCATCCCTTTCCCTCTGCCATGAGAAGAGCATGCCCTCTATGGGGGCTGTTCCTTCTGTCTGGGTCCCAGAATGAGGATAGAGTGGAAAATTCCTGCAGCCATCCCATAAAAGAAAAATCATGTAAGAAATGCCCTTTTTGTTATTAGCCAAAGACACTTCGGACTTCTTCGCTACCATAGCATAACATGCTTTAAGTCAACACTACAGAAATTAGTACATGGAAATGACAGGCTACCATTATACAAATTCTAAAATATGATGTATGGCTTCCAGGGCCAAGCAGTGGGAAATAAGAAAACTGTTATTGGAAGTTAGAAAGATAACAACCCTTCATATGCAGTAGCAAAACATTTGGTAAAACTGTTGCTTGTGATAACTTGTAGGACAGATATGCATTGAATGACTTTGTGGCTTTGCGGGGAAAGTTTGGGAAACAGCAGCTCTGGTTGCCAGTGGTTGTGCCTGACAGGGCGCTGCGAAAAAGAGAGGACCTCCGAAAAGAACTGATTGGTTCGCAAGCCAGAAATAGAGACAACCTGGAAATTCCTGGACTTGCAGGAAAGAAAGTAGGTGTTTCTCATCTCCAACTAGGAAGAGATAAAAATGAGAGATGCTTTAAGTCACAATATAAGCCTATTAAAACAAATTAGCCCTGAACATTGTGCCTCAGTTGGTTGGGTGTCATCCTGCAAAGTGAAAGGTCTGCAGTTTCAATTCCCAGTCAGGGCACATGCCTGGGTTGTGGGTTCAGTCTCCGATTGGGGCGCATACAAGAGGCAAGTGATCGATGTTTTCTCTCCCACATCGATGTTTCTGTCCCTTTCTTTCTCCCTCCTTTCCCCCACCCTAAAAATAAATAAATAAAACCTTTTTAGAAATTCGAAGTGTCCTTTGTTACAACCTGTGAATGCGTTGGGTAACTCTCCCAGAAAGCTGGCCATTAAGTCTGGAGAGAAGTGTGTCTCAAAAATAATTGTGGATGTGACTATTAGCATAAACCAATTGGAATCAAATAGATAAAAAGACTATGGAGTTTTTGAGAGAGCTGTACTGGCCAAGAGCCAACAACCTGGGATTAAATGACTCTATGACTCTATGATCTTTGGACTCCCAACCTCCTATGGGCATAAACCATTATAAGGAGAAGCTACACAGACCCCAAGAAGGACATATTTTCCAATGCCCTCATTAGATGAGTATACAGGAGTGGAAAAGCCTGGATCCCTCAAATGGTGAAGCTAGGAATTATGCTTGAAATCATTCAATGAAATCGAAAGCAATTTCCAGGATACAAAACTAGGGTTTAATTAAAGAATATTTCTCATACCAAATTCTGTCCAACAGGATTTCAGAATTGCTCAGAGTCTTAGACTGCTGTGTATCTCTCATTTTCTTAAATGTGTCTCCACAAGAAGCCACACCCAGATTTAGTATATCTCATGAAATTCTAGATCCTGAGTCTTACATTGTAGTTGGGGAGGACTTTTAGGATGTTTCCCTTGGGGAGGGGATGAGTATATTTTGTGGTTGAAGGGAAGGGAATAAATGCTTATGAGTAAGAGTGTGGTCTGTAACGGGTTATATTATTTTCAATTATTTGTTTCCCCTCCCTGTGAGAGAATTGTATTTCTCTGCCCATTAGCATTAGGCTTTGGCCAATAAAGTGAGGAAGGTCTCAAAAGCCATTGTGTATTCTATCATTTCTCTCTCTTTCTTTTTTCCTGCCACAAAAAACATATACACTAAAAGGGGCTTCTCCTTCCTCCTGGGTCCTGGAATGAATGCAATGTAGAGCTAACCCTTGAAAGGCATGTAAGTTGAGTGAGAAATAAACCCTTGTTTTTAGCCACTATGACTTCAGGATTTCTGCAGTATAACTTAGCCAAGAATGAATATAGAAATCAATGTTCTAAGTTAGTCTGGATCATGACAAAACAAAGTTTTAGACATTTTGTTCCCCCTGCTTTATTTTTAAAGCGATTACTACCTTGCTTTAAGTATGCCCCTTACTCTAACAAATTAAATTGGGCTACTAAAACTTGCTGGATATCCCAATGACTCAAGTTCAAAGCTATTTCTATGACTAAGAAGCAGAGTGTGTAAAGTGGGTCTGTTTCTGCACCCCAGTTTACCGAATATAAAGGTAAAATTTGAGAGACACTCAGAGTTGTGCCTTAGATTCAACCGGGGAACTTATGGTTGTCAGCTGGGTACAGGGAGAAGGCTGGCAAAGTGCCTGGTGAGGGTGATGCAGCTCAAAGATAAGAACACAGACAACCTCCTGCCACGGTCAGAGAAGAAGAGTGACAAAATCAAAGAGACGCTGAACATTAGTAGCCATTTCCTAGAAGACCAACTGAAGGACTGGGGTGCCTGGAAAAACTCTAAGCAGCTGATAGTTTGCTGAAATTCAGAAGGCAGGCGAGAAGAATCGGTCAGGGGCTAGGAGAAGGCAGGACAAATGCAAACCCCAGAAATCTCTAGTTTTCCTTTTATTTTGCTATCGGGGTTATATTTTAGGGTACTAATATTTAAACAAAATTAGTTGAGTAGAATTCCATGCCAGCATAGATTTGTCTCTTACAAGTTTAAAAGAAATCACTATAAAACAATATGGACATAATGCCAACAAGTAATTTCTTCCATTATTATCAGTCTATTTAGCTTTTCAATTTCCTTCAAGTCAATTTTGGAATTTTGTATTTTTTTCAGAAAACCAGTCAAAATGGAATGTAATAAGTATTGAGAGAAATTTAAAGTTTTCATACTACTGTGCATAGTTACATGCTAATAATAATGAAAACTCTTTGGTGCTAAAAGACTGAGTTCCTAATGTAACAAATGGTTTTTGATGACTTTGTGCCAGATACTGAGGTGGAGGCACAGAGGTGAGCAAGACACCAGGACAGAGGTCTTGCTCTCAAAAGACAAGCAGATTTTAATTCAGTTTGATGCACGCTGTGGCAAGTGAAGCATGGGATGGCTGGGAAACCCCTGGGGAAGGGGGGGTCAGGTCCTACAAGGTTTCCTGGAAAACAGGCACGCAACCTAAGGCTTAGAGGAAAGAGAGCCCTGGCCAGGTAGCTCAGTTGGTTAGAATGTTGTCTCAATACACCAAGGTTGTGGGCTTGATCTCCGGTCAGGGCGCGTACAGGAATCTACCAATGAATGCATGAGTAAATGAAACAACAAACTGATGTTTCTCTTTTCCTCTCTCCCTCTAAAATCAATCAATCAAAAACATTTAAAAAAGAAAAGGAAAAAGAATTTTCCAGGTGAGTGGGGTGGGGATGAAGGAGAGGTCGGGGAAAAGAGGTGAAAAGGGCATGTCAGGAGAGAGAATGCCATGCCAAGGCCTGGGGTGCGAACGGCCACATGCTGAGTCCTGAGGACTGAGAGCTGTAGGAGGCGTTGGGGCACGTGGTCACAGTGGTGGGTGGGGTGCTAATCAATAAAGGCCTGTATGCCGTGGGGAGGAGCTTGGTTGATTTTTTTGTCTGTTTTTACATTTTTACTGTAGTAAATATACATCACATAAAGCCTACCGTTATATCCATTGGTAAGTGTACAGCTGAGTGTCATTAAGTCCCTCCACAGTGTTGTGCAGCCATCACCACCATCATCTCCGGAATTGTCTGCGTTTTCCCCAACTGAAACTTGGTCCCCATTAAATACCATTTCCTCATTCCTACCGCCCGCAGCCGCAGGCAACCACTGTTCTACTTTCTGTAGGAAGTCAAACATGCATTTGACCGCTCTAGGTAGTTTAGGTAAGTGGAATCATGCACAATTTGTCCTTTTGTGACTGGCTGGTTCACTTAGTATAATGTCTTCAAGGTTCATCTGCGGTGTAGCATATGTAGCATGCTGCAGAATTTTATTCTTCTTTAAGGATGAACACTGTTCCCTTGTATGTCTATGCCGCATTGTTCATCTATTTACCCATCCATGGACACTTGGGCTGCTTCTACCTTGTAGCTATTGTGAATGATGCCGCTATGAACACAGAAGGAAAAAAAAAAAAAAAAACCTGTTCATGTCCCTGCTTTCAGGGGTTTTTGTTTGTTTGTTTGTTTATACCCAGAAGTGGAATTGTTGAATCAAATGGTAATTCTGTGTTTAATATTTGAGGAATAAAGCTTAGTTGTATCTTTTTGGGTAAAATAAAGTAGCACTGACAGATTTCTATCACAGAAATTGTCTCTTCAGATCTGAGCTTGAGAAAAGTTCCCCTTTGCTGGTATGAGGTGCAGGACAACAAGGGAGGCTATAGAAATAACAGGTTGAGAAACCACAATGGGATATGGGGACAAGAGGGAATTCAAGAGCTTGTAGAGGGGAGGTTGACAAGACTTGATGAGTCACTGTGTGTGGAATG